GCTAAATTCTTTAATGTTTGTGAAGTGTTTTGGGACTGGGCAGGACAGTTTTTAAATGCTGCAGTGCTACATGCAGAGTTATGCTAATTAGTGCCTTTTTAGACACTGATCCCTTACTGTATGTAGACTAATACCGCAAACTGGTCCAGTTTTAGTCTGTGGTACCTTTGGCCTTACTGGTTCTGAGGTTGGTCTGGGACAGAATAATTTATTTCTGATTTGGTGGTTACGGTAATTGATGAAATAAAAATTCCCCAGACTGTCCCTTGGAATACCCTGAGTTAACTGTTCCCTTAGGCTGTGCAAGCTGGCCTTTCAAAAAGCCTGATTTTTGGAGGCATAGTCTTTACAGTTTATGCATGGAATAGGTATACTCCCAGTGGAAGAATCTACAAGAAAAAAGCTTATCCCTACAGACAGATACTGGCAGAAGCCAAAGACCTGCCATGAAGTGGCTCATTTCAGAAGCATTGCCCATCAAACACAGACACCCCTTTGCACATATCACTGTGACCAGGTGGTGTGACATGTGGCCATGAACAAATAAATGTTTTGATAGGTAAACCTCAGCTATGTTTTTCTAAACAATTTTTTTTAGTGTTTCTAAATGTGTTTTCCTATCACGACTGTTGATAGATCATGTATGGAATATCATTAATTATCATGTATAACATGTCTGTTCTCTTATTGCTGATCTCCCATGTAAATACCCTTGTGGTTCTTTGCTGGTATGTCACAGCAGATGCTTTTGCTTTTTCTATTGCTGTAAACAAGCTGTTGTGACTGATACTTCTTTTCACCATATGTCCTGAACACTCCCAGTTCATCGTCACATGTAATTTCCAGGATGCCTTGTAGGGTGTGTATGCCTCCACCCGATTTCAAAATCAATGTAGCTCTCCATGGATTGACTAATGACTGCAAGGTGTAACTTACCATGCTGGTTTTGGCTGACAGTGCTGCTAAACGAACAGTTGTTTGCTTAACATGTCTTTCATGGTTCCCATGTGAAGTAACTTTTTCTGAGAAATTCAACATGCCTTCAGGTCTCCCGATAAGCATTTATCTGGCATGCTGTTGAGACCAAAAAGGAGCGTGACCCCAGCTTGTTGCCCTGAATACTGATAGTTTTGCCCTGTTCCTTAGCCATGTCGTATGTTTGTATTGTCCTCATACATTTTGTTATGCTGATCTCATCATTCCTACATCCATCAAGCATCTGTAGAGTAGGAGTGGGTGGGTGGCGAGAACTAAGAAAACTGTGATGTACCTGTAAGGGTGTTGTGCTGATGCAGTGTATAAGATGTTGTAATTCTGTCCCATTGTGAGGATCTAGGACTGATGGCACATTTTCTTACATTTGTTTTCATTTATGTTGTTGTTTTAGACCATTCTCAATGCTCTTCATAGAATAGGATATGCAGCACCAAAGAGGAATTGCTTGTGCACAGCAAACATATTTACTTGTTATTATAATGAGTGGACATGCCTTGTTATTCACCTGTGATGTGTTGACCTTCCAGAAGGTCTGCCTGGCATTTCAGTAATAGCATGTGTGATGGTACAGTATTGAGTGTGGTCAGGAATGGTGTCTCTACTAATCATTTTAATGAAAGCAGTTATGTGGAGGTGAACAGAAACTGAATTTAAATAGTAAACATGAAAGAAGTTCAACTACAGGAAAGGGCATTCTTTTAACATTTCTCTCATCTGACTCTTTAGGTTTCTGAGCTTTTCTTTAGGTTGTCTGAGCTTTTGTCATACGTGTTGCTGGACTGTCCTCACAATATGATGTATTGCTGTTGGGACTATAGCTGGTGGGAAAGACTTTTTTCCTCTTGATAGCTGGTGAAATTGTTCATGTTGCCTGTAGCAAAGAGCATGCTAGCTCTTACTTTGATCGATCTGTGGTGGCACGCTGTGCAATTATAGTTTATGTAGGTAAGGGAGGGTTTTATATAAGCGTTTTCTTGAGGTTGGTACAGATGTCTATATGCAAATTTCTGTAGCTCCACAGTGGAACAGACAAAGCTGCATGTCATAGAATCATGGAATCATAGAGTATCCTGAACTAGAAGGGACCCACAAGCTTGAGTCCAGCTCCTGTCCCTGCACAAGACAAGCCCAAGAATCACACCATGTGCCTGAGAGTGTTACCCAAACAATTCTTGAACTCAGACAGGCTTGGTGCTGCAGGGATCCTGTTCTAGTGCCTGGCCAGCCTCTGCATGGAGACCCTTTTCCAACTATCCAGCCTAAATATCCCCTGACACAGCTTCATGCCATTCCCTCAGGTCTTATTCCTGATCACCAGGGAGCAGAGAGCGGTGCCTGCCTTTCTGCTTCCCCTTGTGAGGAAGCTGCTGACTGCTGTGAGGTCTCCCCTCAGTCTTCTCTGTGCTGAATAAACAAAGTGACCTCAGCCACTCCACATATGGCTTCTCTAGACTGTTGACCATCTTCGTGGCCCTTCTTTTGGTGCTTTTTAAAAGATCTATATCTTTCTTACGTTGTGGCACCCAAAACTGCACACAGACCTTGAGGTGGGGCCTCACCAGTGCAGAGTGGTGTAATGCAGCTTCTCAGACATATGTTGGTTTTGCTAACATAACACTAGAAGTTGCAGTTGCTGCCTTTTTTCTGCTCATATGTGTAAAGTCTTTTAATTCTGGAAATTGGAGTAGAGAGCACCACTGTTTGAACTAGCCTTGGCTGTGCCCTTCTTTTCACCTTTCACTCTGAGGGTATGATTGAAGATGGTATGTTGATGCATACCTGGCACTCAAATCTTCCATGAGCCAAGAAAAAGATAAAAAGAGCCTGATGTAACTATGTCAATGTGTAACGTGGTGCCTGTGGAGAAGAAAAGGTTATTGACATTGTCTTTGCTACCAATAGATGCCTACGATGAATGTCCACATAATTTCTTTTACTCTTCGTGTCAGTATCAGCAACTTAGAAGCACTGCAGGGTCTCTTTTAGTATACACAGCTGGATCTTCCATATGGGATCTGGCCATAGTGCTCTCATTCATGATGAGGGCAGATCTTAGTGGTGGATTGTTATTTGTCTATGCTTGTGAATGTGTCTACATGTTATTTTTATGTTAAAGAGAAAATGTTGGAATGTCAGTAAAAACAACCTGATGTTGCAGAAAGGAGTATGTTTGCACTACATGTGGTCCAGATCAAATCATTATTTTATAATGTCTTGGATTTTAAATGTATTTTGATTTAGTAACTGTTTTCTTGTGCTTGTTTATACCTGAAGGCCAAGTATCTCCTCCAACTGAGTACTGAACAGTTCTGGTTGAGTTTGTGACAGGCCCTCTGTTGCAGCAGTTTGCTGTGATGCTGACACAGGCAACTCATTCGAGTTTGTACAATTGTCCCCACTGCACTGGACACAGGATATTCTGTTTTCCTTTGCTCATTTTGTCAGATTTCATAGGATAAGGACTCTATGCTACTTCTTGGCTTTATGCAGCAGTCTGAGCATCTCTAATGATGTTAGTCTTTCATAGTCACTGAGCTCCTTTGGTACCAAGATATTCCCATTCACAGTTGGATGTTGTGGTTGGTGATCTTTTATCTCCGGGTGCCTTTGAAAACTTTGCATGCTATCACCTGGCAGTGCATATTTTTTTCTTATTTTTCTTCTTGCCACGACTTGTATCTGCCTAAAGAAAATGTGCCAAACTGGCTCTACTCCTGGAAGAAGTAATAGTTTTATGGATTGCTTTGTTTTGATTAAGGGAAAGTAAAGTTTTCTTGTAGCATTTTATATATCTACAGAGTTCATTTTTACATCAACATTTATTATTCCTTTGGCTCCTGAAATAAGATATATTCTGTAGGATTTCCAAGGTCTCTGTAAACTTTCAAAGCTGTAAATGTTTTGATGAAGTGGACTGTTTTTTTCTCAGAAGCCTCTTTTCCTGTCTTTCACAATGAATAATAGCATGGTCTGGTAAGGGGCAGAATTTAATGTGTGTGGTAGGGGACGAGTGGCTCAGCAGAAATGGTGCTTACCTCCTTTTTTTTTCAGTTTGTCCTGTTTTGTCATAATTTTGAGATAGAAATGGCCTTTGTCTGGTTCTGAAGATGCGTAGCATTAAGGCTTTGACAGATGCCCACCCTTCTTTCCAACTTTGTGCTATTGCTGGCCATCATTGTACAGCACAGTCCACATTACCTGTAATCCAGTGCTTCTGAAGACCTGTCAAAGGTAGAGTTCCCTGGAATTTAATGTTGGCTTGAGAAACAGAAGGGAAAACCCCAATTACTGTCTTTAGGGGGTTCCCAAAGTGCTTTTTGCGTTCTTAGAATATCTTAATATTGCCTATGTGATGACCTCCCTTTTATTTCTAGGTATTTATTCTTCAGATCAATCTAGATGTAATTGCTGCAAACAAGTACTTTTCAAGAAACTGTATTTTTGCCTGCCTGTGTGGCATAATGCTTCTTGTTCACACAGCACAAATAAATTGGGGTGCTTTCCTTTCACATTAGCCTATGTATTGCTTTTGCTGGAGTTATCACACTGATCATGCATGTAGATTATAAGCTTCTGTAAAGCTGACTCCAAAATCGTGAGAGAGTGGAGGTTTTAAGAAAACTCTTGATGTTATTTCTGCTTTTTAATCATCTCTCATTCTGGACAGAGTTGTTTTCATGCATGCTGTGTCATGCTGGTTGTTGTTAACATGTTTACTTTCACTACTCAGGGAAGTAAATTTGACTGCAAGGTTCGGTTTTCCCTGTTGTTAGCATGAGGAATACCCAGAAACTGAGTTAAAATGATACTGAGTAGTTAATCTCTACATTTCATAGTTACTTTTACTGAAATGAATAATTACCTGGAGGTTACAGCTTCAGAGCAGGAAGCCTAACTGTAGTCAAAAGAAACTGAGACTATGCTAATGAATTTTTGCTTTATGTCCTTTGCTTTGTATTAAAATGTGTCATAATGAATAACATTCTATTTCTTGTTCCTTACAGGTAAAACGAGAAAAACCAGAAATTATACCAGATTTAGAAAACTTGGTGCAAGAAAAATTAACTACAATTGAGAATAAGAACAGTGACTCAGATTTGAAAAGCAATGAAAAATACATGTATTTTATGGATCAGCTTAAAGAGATGAAAAAACAATGTAAGTCTGATTTTAAAAAAAAAAGATTCTTTGAGTACTAACTAGTAAGATGTGATTAACTGCCCTAAAATATAGAATTGCCAATTATGGCTTAAACTGGTGTGTGTGTTCTTACTTAAAAACTTATTTAAATTGATATCTGTGTAGAACAAAGGCCAGTGTAATTACTTTGGTAGTTTTATTTAGACTCCCACAGTTCCTGCTGTGTTTGAATACAAATATCATGAAAATCCCATTTTTTTTGGTAAGGTGGGCTTTGTCATTTGAAGACCTTTTGCATTTATTTTCTTAATTGATAGGATCTTCTAAAAAGATTAGGTAAGCTGTTTTCATTTGTCGCTTCAACAAATTGCTCCTGTTTCACAACTTAGGATGTGTTGCAACTCTTAAGAAGACCTTTGCTTTAATCGTAGAACTATATTGTTGGAAAGTGCTTACTGTATGTGTTCTCAGGTTTACAGCTTCGTGCACGCACCAGGAAACACTGCAACTTAGTAAAATCTGGTTTTCTTAATTCACATAATTTTTCTAGAGTTAAAATTTCAAGTTATATCTGCTTGAATTACCAGAGGAGTTGGAGGGTGAACAGTTCTGTTATTTATGCAACACAACGAAATTGTATGCTTTTATTGCCCCACACATATAGCAGCCATTAAAATATCACTCTGATTACTGGTTCTAGGAAAGTTCATGGGCTCTGACACTATTTGTGTCCCTCTTCCCTAATCATGATTATGTTTTGAAATCGTATTATTCTGCTTGCTGTCCCTTGACCCCCTTGCTGTACCTATTCCCTCCCACCCTACATTTTGATTTCAACATGAGCTGGTGTCTCAGGAACTTCAGGAGTCATAGATTAATGATTTATACCATTGGAAAAGGATATTCTGGACGCTCACCTGTAGCTCTCCTTGAGTTTTGGGGTTTTTTGGAGTCCTATTCAAACCTCACTGGAAGTAGCAGAAAGAATTTGCCCACTGATTCCACTGGACTTCAGATTACTTCCCTATAGAGACTTATGGGGTGTGAGGACATGTTTGACAAGGTGAACTTTAGATCTGGTGTCTCAAGACTCCCTAGGATTAGAGCTCGAGGGCTTAATATATTTGTTTCTCATCTTTATGGGTTTTAAGATTTTCGATTTGAGTATTAACACTGATCTCTGAGTTTAATAGATCTTAGCACTACTCTAAGAATGAACATACCAAGTTGTAGACCACAAAACAGTGTAATTTTCACTCCCTACATAACCATAAAATTATTACTGGCCTGGCATTATGTTGTAATTCCTAATTTCCAGGTGTTTGTAACTAAGAAGATAAAAATCTTGATAACTGATTTCGGCTTTACTTTCCACCCTGTAATTGCCTGAGGAAGGGGTGTATGCCCTAGGAATAAATTCAGTTCAAGCTATGGGACTAAGTTCTAACTGGCAGACCTGTTGAAAAAAAAACCCAAATTAAATAAACACCGTAAAAATTATTCGTAATAAAATATGAGAATGTCATTCTGCTACTGCTGCCTGAAATCCAGATTTGTCTTACTAGCCACTTGACTTTTGTTTTGGTCATGTACAGAGGTCAGACTATGCCCAAAATGAAATGCATGATGATGTTGGGTGGACTGCTGTGTTCTGTACAAGGACTGTTTATCAGCTGGGTCAGCTTGGGGTTTGTAGATTTCATGTTGGTTTTGATCAGGTAAATCCATCACATTTGCTCCTCTTGACATATTTATTGCAATTTAAAAGATTTAATGAAAAATGGTTACTTAGCTTTCGCAAACAGTCTTGGATGCAATACAGTGAACATGTATACAAGGGAACAGTCTGGTGCAGCCACCTTCTTTGGCAATGAAGTGTTACCTCAGGTCTGCAGATAGGTGGGAAATACAAAGTTAAGTTTTTGAAAGCAAGCACAATTCTGCTGCCTTAAACTTGCATTAGTGTTGTGTCTTCTGCCTACATAATCTATTGATCCAATATGAAATTATTTTCCTACACTCCTTTCCTCTTCAAAAGGCTCTTTTACCAGGAAGGCTTCTAGAAATTGTTGAGTAATAATGGATGACTGAAGATCGGTGGAGCCTGTTTATATTCACATACTTAAATTTGCTTCTATATGATACAGTGACCTGGAACCTTTAAGACTGTCTTGTTTCTCTATTTATTGTAGTTATGTCATCTTCTTGCCATTACCCTTATCCTCCCTCTCTCCTTTTGTGTGTTTTTGTCACTCATACCTAGCCCTTAAAAAGACATGTGGAACCGAATATCAAAAATACATTCACAAGCTTAAAAATGATAGGTACATTCTTACAGGAATTCTTATAGGGCCTCTGGTTTTAATATCTTTGTGAGAGACTAAACACATGTACTCCATCTGGTACAAAAAGCCACTTCTCATTATTGAGCTCTACATAGTAAATTATTATGTCGAGATGTATAATTGAGCACTATCAGTATTAGCTAAAGTACTAGATATAATTTTAAGCTGCTCCAGGGGAGGTTTAGGTTGGACATTAGAAGGAATTTCTTCACAGAAAGGGTGATTAGACATTGGAATGGACTGCCCTGGAAGGTGGTGGAGTCACTGTCCCTGAAGGTGTTTAAGGAAAGACTGGACATGGCACTTGGTGCCGTGGTCTGGTTGACATGGTGGTGTTCAGTCATAGTTTGGACTCAGTGATCCCAGAGGTCGTTTCCAACTTGATTCTGTGATTCTGTGATATGCCATGTCAAAAATAGTATTACTGTGAAGAAAGATTGGACTCAGAGGCAGGAATTTCAGAGTTGCAATACCAACTGAGCTGGAGAGTCATGAAATCCGTAAAAGACATGAGTTTCCATAAACTGGTGATTTACCTTATAGGACACTGTGTGTACATGTGTTTTTCGTGTTAGGTTTTGGGTTTTCTTTGGTAAAGAGAACATTAAGGTCATCCTGTTAAATATTCAATATCTGTGCTTATATCGAGTCAACTGTGTATTCTTTAGTTTCTCCTGTATGAATTGTGATTTCAAAAGCATGAGCCCTACAATTCTGGTCCCATCTTACAGCATATTACAATGTGTCTGCAAATTTTGGGACACACTTTAAACTGCTTGATGTGAGTTATATGTAGCAGTAACTTCAGCAAAAACTATCTAGTTAATATTTTGTTTTCAATCATTAGTCTTGCCAGGTTTGTGCACAACTTAGTTCAAAATTCCTGGCCTGTTTCAATAACACATATACAGTTGTGGTCCAATTTTTAGCTCTTTTCTGGGATTTGGTTTTGTTGCTAAATCACATAAAATATGGAAACTTCAGCCAAGTTTTCTCAGAGGGGCTTTCCTGGGGTTTTCTGTTGTTCCAGTCTTTTCTATCTCAAAGGAGCAGATGGGGTGGATGCTAAAATGATTTGCTGTCCAGGATGTGTTACCATTAATCATTGTGTATCTTTTATTCATAGTTCAACATTTGTATTCCAGAATAGCTGAACAAGGAAACATTATATTCTCACATTGTCTTGCTACTTAAAAATTAGCTAGGATTTTAAGGAGAAAAAATTTCTCAACACAGTTTTTAGGTATAGTGCAGAGTGTGAAGCAGTTAAATACAACCTTATTTTAACAAAAAATTAAGAAAAGTAGTATGTTTTCTCTCTTGATATTTGCTGCCACAGTGATGAAAGGGAGCTGCATGGTTGTTCCCTGCCCCCTGACACGTGACAGGCAGTACCGTAGGTAGCTCTAATACTCAGGGAGGAGAATGGAGTTGTATCACCTTCAGCTTGTCTTCTTCTCTTGGCAGTTCTGTGGGAAGGAGACCTTCTTAGCTTTGAACTTCAGCAGCAGCTAAGGTGCAGAAAGGAAATTGGGCAAGTGCATCTCTGGCAGTAAGGTTGATATGCCTCAGAGCAGTTTCTGTTCTACTCATCTTTCAGGCAGTTTTCAGGCATTGTCTCTCAATATGTGAGCCTTTATTATGCAGCTACTTCAGCTAGAGTTTGTGCAAAGTGATGCAAAATCTCCACCTCTGATGATATGTGTCAAAACACTGTCAGACAGGTTTTATGTGAACAGAAAGTGGTTTTTCTGAAGTCTGTTTTCAGAACTATCTTAGTTTCCTAAATTCCCACTTCTTACTTTTAATGGAAAACATTTTCATTTTTCCTCTAAGCCTTCTTAGAATGTAAGCAGTAGAAAGGAGTTTGATTAATTTTTCTTTTTTTTTAACCATTTCTTGTGCCCCTAAGTGGCTACATTATCTTTTCCAAATAATTGAGCACTTGGAGGCATATTCACTAAATCTGGTAATACCAGAAAGTTCTATATGATTGCATGTGTGGTTTGTAAGGAGAACTTTTTTACCTTAACACTACATGACTGATGCTCTCCTTACCCATAAGGGTCCTGGATCTGCAAAGTGCTTAGTGATCTTTTGAATAAGTGAAATGCTTAAGCAAGTTGCTTAAATTAAATTGCTTGAGTAGATCCTTTGAAATTAGTGAGATTGCTGGCATGTTTCATTTCCTTATTGGAGCATAACCACAGTGCAGAACCTTGCAGGAGTGAGCCCATAGGAACTGAGCCTTGATTACTGCAGGAATTGTAACTTTGCATTTTGTATCTTCTGTAAGTTTAAAATCCCACCTTCTGTTTGAAGTTGTATTACTAAGTCTTTTTATTTCATGCCAGTATATATATATCTCTGTCTATCTCAAAGGCATCTTCTGGCACAGAGTATGAGAATTTTGCTTTCACAGAATGAAACTAAGATCTGTCTTTAATCTCTGTGTAACAGTTTAAATTTCTGATACTCTGTGAAGAGAGATAATCAGAAGGTATAATCTCTGCTCGTATGACCCTAGCTGCCACTGCTGTATTTGCTGAAGGTTATTTAGTGTCACATTTGGTGCACAAAGGATGGATGACAGGTCTCATAGCTTTTTTGTAGCAGCTGACAACATGCACTTTGGAATCCTTGATAAATATGGGCTCTGTGAACACCCAACAG